CATCTGTTTCTTCTCCCTGTGATTAGAGCATCACAGAATTATATAATGCTATAAGTCAATATTTGTATATTTTACAAATGAAGAAACTGAGCAAGCTCAAATCATTTAGCTAGAGGCAGACATCTTTACTTTCAAAGAGCTCTAGAGTGCAAAAGGCTACATCTTCTCTGATAACCTATTCTGAAATTCAGTAAAATGCGAAGAATTTTCTAGTTTCTCATACTGATATTAACAAGTATTTTAATTGAAATAATTTGTAAATTTAAAAGGAATAATTTTGGCAGCACCGGGCCATATTTTAAGGCAGAGCTTGAATTATTTTATTTACTACAAATTCTCATTTGAGGATGAACTACTGTGAAAAGGAAGATGTTAAATCTTTATTCTTTCATTTAACAAATATGTTTTGTAGCATTTATGGTATCAAAGGTAGGCATAAAAGGGCCACTCTAACCTTTACATTCTTTTTTTTACTTTTCATTTTGAAATAATTTCAGATTTATTTTTAAAAGTTTCAAAGATAGTGCAAAAAATTCCTATATACCATTCACCCGGATTCTCTAAATGCTTACATCTTTTATAACTACCCTGCAATTATAAAAATCAGGAAATCAACATTTATACAATGTTATCTAATCCAAAAACCTTACTCAAATCCCACCAATTTTTCCAATAATATGTATTTTTTTCTGGTTGAAGAGCCCATTCACGTTCACGTGATTCACTTATTTTTATGCATCTTAGTGTCATTTATTTTTGAAAGAGTTTTTAGTCTTTGTTTTTCTTGATCTTGGCACTTAAAAAAAGTAAAATATTATAGGCCATTTGTTTTGTAAGATGTGCTTTAATTTGGATTTGCCTGATATTTCCTCATGATTAAATTCAGGTTATACCTTTTGAATAACAATACCACGGACGTGATCTGTGTCCTCAGTGTATTATATAAGGAGCACATGATATCAATTTGTCCCATCAGTGGCGATGTTAACTTTGATCACTTGATTAAGGTGCTGTCTGCCAGTTTTCTCCAATGTAAAATTATTTTTCTCTTTGTAATTAATAAGTATCTTGAGGGGAGATACTTTGAGACTAAATATCCAATTTTTTATTATACTTTTTCCCATTAACTTTACCATCTGTTGATGATTTTTGCCTGAAGCAATTATTACTGTGGTGATTGACAAACGGTGATGATCTAATTCCATCATTCCTTCATTGCTATTAGTTGGCATTCTACTGTGAAGAAGAGCTTTTCCTTATCCCCCATTTATTTATTCATTTAAAAGATTTATATCATTATGGCCTCTTGGATGCCTTTTTTATTCTACAAGTAATAATCCGTTAATGTTTTTATTTATTTTATTGCTTAAATAATTCCAGTAGTGGCTGTTGGGAGCCCCTTCATGTTGGCTCCTATGTCCTTTTGATATGTCCCATTGGTTTTTGAGCGTATACTTGATTTCCGGCACCACATCTGGCTGTCAAGGATCATTTTGTGCTTTCCTGATACAACCCTGAAATAAATTATTTCTCCAAGGAGCCCTGGTCAGAGTACACTTTAGACATCGTTCAGAATTTTTAAAATAGCTCAGAGAAGCTGAAAACCTTCAAGTCTTGTGGAGATATTTGCTACCTTGTGTACCAATAAAGTTGTCAATACAAGTTTTTTAATCATATTATATGGCTAGGTCTACAAAAATAGTAATGCAGTAAAAATATCAAATATTTTAATCTTTATCATACCAGGAGAAATAGTCATCATATCTACCATTTGAGTCCAATGGATTCTTCATATTTTTTAATTTTTAAGTTATTTTGTGAAAAATTTACAGAAGTAAATAAAGAGAGCATGAAACCAACAAAATAAGTGTTTAAACAGCAAATCAAATTTTCTATGTATTTAGTTGGGGAGGTATATGTATCTGAAATGGGCAATGACCTTTGAGTGCAACTATCTGTTCATCAGCTTTCGTGTATGAAATGGGAAATATTCATGTCACAAATATTGATTACAGATTCTAAACACATCTCTAGGAGATTGTAGCTTATTATTTCTGGTTCTCCTGGCATGCGCATTATCATGGTGTAATACCATTGAAAAGTTTGAAGGCTCATAATTTCATAGAAAAGAGAATGCTCATCTTTTTGTTCTGTAATTACAAAACGTTTTAAATTTTAGTTTTATAAACATAAATTAGATTAATCAGTCCAGTGAACTTTTTAATTTTTACAGAATATCTTTCCAATCACCTTTGTGTATACACCTGCCTTCAGCATTTGTCCATTTATGAATCATATCAAGTAAATTTTTATCCACACATATCATAAAAGATAAAAGAATCTTCATGAGTACTTTCAGCAAAACAAGATGATCCAGGTCCTCGTTGCAAAATAATAAATGATCAAGTCCTCCTATTGAATGACTAACTGGTTAAAATATCATATTTCCTTTTGTTTTTATAAATATATTGTTTGCTCTTTGGTTCTTGTAGTTGAGAAAATTTATTTGTCCTAAAGATTCATAGTCCAAGATTTTGCTTACAGTCAAGTTCACCCTCATCATTAGAGTCTCTAGTGATTTTGTCTCTCCACCTTCATCTTGTGACTCACCTAACAACTGTGAGATGTCTTTGTTAATTTTCTTCTCTTTCCCATTATGGATGGAAATGAAAAATTCTGAATTCTTAATTGTATTCAGTGAAAGCTAAAAAAAAAATGACAAAGGTTGTGTCTCCAGACTTCTTTCATACCCTTTTGAGAGATGATGCATTACCTAGGACAACACAATAAAAAAACCAAATGGTGATGAAACAGTGGTGATATGTTTGTTTATTCACTTCTAGGAAATTTCATAACTTTTTTATTTTACTTATTTTTTTAGCATAATTAGAAATAATTGATGAGCAATGATGAAATAGCAAAATATTTTAAGATATAGGAAAAGATCACTAAGATCTCATAATGTATCTTAGATTTATTAAATAATCAATGGACTTAAGTGATAGTAGTAAGAGAATGAGTTTTATCCTATTAAAAGATAAGTAATTTTTTCTTTTGATCTGTGGAAAAACCCTAAGAAATAATAAAACTCATGAAATATCAGTCCTTACCAATAGTTAGAGCTACTCAACAAAAAAAGCTTAAAAACTGAAGTTGGATCATGATGATATACCAAAGATTAAGATGTTTCAGTCAAATAGGCAAATAGTGAATAAAAGAAATAAGAAATATTGGTAAGAGTTCTTTTTTCCTTAAACCTGATGATACTCTGAAGGGAGTTCTTAATGAAACTAACTTAAGTAATTTTTTTTGGTTTGTTTTTTTATTACCTTATAAATCATACTGTGTTTCAAAGAAACTTGCAGTTATGATGAGCTATGAACTGTTAGGAAATTTGTTAAATAGAATGAAAAGAGAACTAGACCAGGAGCCCAAGAACTATACCTCTAATTTAAATTTAGACAATAACTAGTTGTGTTTCTTTGGGCTGAGCAATCCTGGAAACCGTGGTACAGTGAAAAGAGCAGGCGACTTTGGACCAGAACCGCAATGAGAAGCTGCTTCTTAGGACTCTTGTTGGCCTCTCAATTGTCTCACCTTTTGTAGAGATAACAAAATTCTGCTGTGAGAGTTGTTATGAGTCTTTATGAACTACTAGAGACTCTAAGACCCTACAAGGCTGGAACTCTTCTGTGGTCATCTTAGCCTCCACTGTGTCTAGAAGTATCTGAGTATTTGTTAAATAAATAAGTATATTTTATTAAGCATGTTTATAAATTCTGTATTAAGAACTATAACATGTATACAAGTACAAAGTTGTGTTTGCTTAATACATTTATACTAAGTGCTATTCAGATTTAAGGTCCTTTCCCCCCTTTGTCTTAAAAAGCCATTAGGAAAAGAAAACTTCAACATAGGCTCATTGTTTTATCAAATCCAGGAAAAGCAAAGTTTTGTAATAATCTAGAACCTGATATTTAAAATTGTAGATCTATCTTCATTTAACCTCATCTGTGATTATTAAAATGGCAAGCAATGACAAATCAGTTTATCATTGTATTTGTTCTAAGTTGACTGACTGGCTCATGAGTTCAGAAATCTCACTGGCATGTCACAAATTTTATAGAGTAAAATATCTGTGTATTCTTCGAGCTTTCATAGTCCAAAAATATTAGATTGGGTTTTTCTCTTAATACAAAAATTTTAATTTCTTTGCCTATATTTTCTCTTTTAACTCACATCTAACAAATCTGAGAAATTGACTTGAATAATTTCTTAAACCATTAGTCTCTTTGCTGTTTTAATAAAATCTTAATTTTTTTAAAAAAAGAAGACATCCAAGGCTCTTAAGAAAGCCTACAGAGACCAATTTGAAAGTTATAGACCTTTTCCCATTGCTAAGCCTACATGTAGCCTACCCAACGAAGAGAAAGAAATCTAACTTGGATTTGACATGTAACGTATTTAATTTACTAGTTAGTTTGGTCATCGTTCGGTTCAGGGTCTGACTATAAATTAAATAAATGCTATTTCAGCAGCCTTCAAGTTTCCCTGTGAAGTCACTTACGCTTGTGACAGAGAAACTAAGACCTAAGATTTGACCACTTTCAGTTTAATACATGATTTACTCCTTATGGGTATTGGTCAGAGCTTGAACTGTCGATAACTATTTTATCAGCCTCAGTGTGTGTTTTATATGTATTTGAGACTCTCACCTTTTCATTCTTGTTTGACTCTCTCACTGGTTGACAGGTTCACTATCTTTAATCTTTGAATCGCATTGAGGTAAAATTATCATAGAAGAGATTCCTGAATTGGAGGTGAGGCAGGACTGCATAGTGTTTAAGGGTCTCTTGCAACTCTTCAAATTCTATACTTTAATTATATACCAGCAAGCATATAGAATAAGTATGATTACTGTGATACTTCCATAACACTTTGCCTTGACTGGCTTTCTCTCACCTGTCTCACCAATCCCATTTTGTTGTCTACTCCTTTAGATTTTTATTAACAATGAGTGGCAGAACTCGGAGAGTGGGAGAGTGTTCCCTGTCTATAATCCAGCCACAGGAGAACAGGTGTGTGAAGTTCAAGAAGCAGACAAGGTATGTCCTTCTCAGAAAAAGATTCCCTATTAAATAACTACTTCCAAACAGCAGAGCACTAAACTTACGTTTTCCAGACACAACCACTGACCTTCACTCATCACCTTTTTTGTGAGAGCAGATGGTTCTTCCTTTATTTGGAGTGTTGTCTCTTCAGTTGTGCCTCTTCCTCTCTAACAGGCAGATATAGACAAAGCAGTGCAGGCAGCCCGCCTGGCTTTCTCTCTTGGTTCAGTGTGGAGACGAATGGATGCTTCAGAAAGAGGACGTCTGTTGGATAAGCTTGCAGACCTGGTGGAACGAGACAGAGCAATTCTTGCAGTAAGTAGCCAAAGAAAATATTCAGTCTTTACCCCAAATTTACCATTCCACTGAGATTTAGATTCCTCAGACTTTCTGAAAATACAATGTGAAACTGACCTGGGGAACAAGCTAAAGAGTACATAATATACATGAAAAATGAGATGTTTGGCTTTTGTGATAAGTGAGGGAAGTGGAGGACCAGCTGAGTGTCTCTTCTTACTGAATTTTGAAGAACAAAACCATAGCTTCCCATGCCTGGTAAGGACCTTCCTGTCTTCCTTCCGCCCTTGACAAACAAAACAAAACAGTTAAGCAGCAGGAGAGCTACCATGTGCTTCCAGAAAACAAATACCAAAAAATCATTTGAGAATCAAATAGGACTGTTTTTACCTCCCCAGAGTCAACCCCTCTTGACTAAAGAGAATCCTTCAGAAACAGGCCATGATATGGACCTCCCATTCACTTCTCTGTCACTTTCAGCAACATTTTTTTCCCCATTAAAACAATCCTTTTCTTACATAAGAAACTTCCCCTCTCCTGATGGTTTTTTGTTGTTGTTGTTTTTAAAGTAAAGGTCAATTTTTAGAGAATATAGGCTTTTTGGAAACTGGAATCATTGGGAAATGCCTGTGCTATACACCAGAGATCTCCACATGGGTGACCCAAAATTGATCACTTAATACTTGGGGTATCCTTGTTCAGTCAGGGCATTCGAACCATGAATACTATATCCTATCCTCTACTTGAGATAACAGGTCACTATTGGGCTTGGTTTGAGAGAGGGAGACAGTACCCTTTCTCAGTGTCACTGCCACCATGGTTCTTCCCTCTTGCCATTCTCCCCAGGCATCTGTTCATAGTATGGGAACTAAAATGAATCCTTTATAGAGATGGTTTGGAACTCTAGCTATTTGTAACATTTGTCTATTAAAACATTTCTAATCTGATACTTTAAGGAAGGGCTTATGTATATTGTGAAAAAAGTGTTTCATGGTGAAATGGCTCTTTCTTAAAGATTCACAAGACACCAAACACATTAAAGACTCTGAAAAGCCCTACTCAGTGTTTCTCAAACTTATTTAAGCCTCAACACTATTTTTATGGCTAACTTATTGTGCAAAACTGAATTTTTTGGAACACCTCGAGGAATCTGGTCTGTGTGCTTACCTCTTCACTGAATCATGATTTCTTTGAGAGTGAAAATTGTGTTTCACTTTTTTGGTAATCCTACCACAGTTCCTGGCACATAAATAAGTCAGTAGGGGTACATTGATGGTCTGTAAGTATCTGTTTAATTGACTTCAATGTGTACAATATTTACAACATTAGGTTAACAGTATGTACTAGATGATGATATAGTTAATTTCTGCAGTTACAATTTTCACGTCATAAAATTCAGACACCATTCTTTTTCTGACATATGTCTCACTGTGACACACTTAAATGACATCCCTACTTTTAAACACTATCAAGCCATGAGAGGAGTAAGTTTTAAAAAGGGGTAGGCTCTGGAATGGCTCCTGGCCAGAAAACTGAACTTAATAGCCAGGTAAACACAATTAAGAGTAAACCTAAGGCTGGCAACGCTTAGGTGAATTCGACTGCTGTCAATAGCTCACAGGGACCGTTTAGGTGGCCCACATTTTGGTTATTGACTGAACTTCACTCTACGCTATGTAGACCTTGACTCTATGCTAGCTGCATGGAGAATGTAATGCCCATCTCATGAACATATAAATGTTCTAACTAGTACTGGGAAATAATTTGATTCCCTTCAATAAATGTGAGCTAATATATGGTAATAAAGTAACATGATACTTTAAAATGATTTCCATCTTATACACATAGTAAATGGATAAATTACACTGTAGATAATAATATTTCATGTCATTAAATGGAGAATATTTTAATTTTAGTTTTGTCAGCACTCAAATAATTTTCACACCGGTGTGTGTTACAAAACGTCCTCATAGAGAATGAAGGACATGAGGTTATCAACATGTTTTTGTTTGTTTCATTCGTTAAACTTATAACACCTTTAATATTCCTCAAGTCAAAATACTCTTTTCTCATTTCACTGTGTTCATTTGTAATTATTTTTGTTATAGATTTAACCACTTTAGGAACATGTCCTTAAAATAATAACATTTATAATCTAAAACTGCTTAATATCTCTATTTTTATTAAGTGAACCAGATACTTCACTCTTAATAGATAATGGCTGTTAACATAAATATTTACAAAAAACCCCAGCCCTCAACTTGTTAAAGTTTGAGCTTCCCTAGAGGAGATCTTGTTTATTTGGTGGTAATAAATAAATTCGCTGTGCACTGTTGATATTCCATTTCTCAGCAGGGGTCTTGGCAGCTGTGGAGAACGTTTTATATTCTCATCAGTTGCATAAAAGCCCATATCCCTGTTCTTCTTTATGGATTCAGATTCCTGGTGTAGACTCCAAAAAATCCCCATGCAGCTCTGATCATTAATATAACAGAAGCTGGTTTGACAAGCAGAACATTTCTTTATCATCAGTTAATGAAATGTGTTTATATATTGAGATAGTGGTTACTGGAAACACACAGCCACAAGAATATGTATATATATATACATACATACATATATATACACACACACATATATATATATACATACATATATATGTGTATATATATATACATATATATATGTATTCATTGTGACTTTTACTGGAAACTAAACTAAACTGATAGTGCTAAAAACCTTTGTATTTGGGAAATTAGAGTTAACCAGGTATGCATCATTGTTCATATTTGTTTGTATTTTTTCTCTTTCTTTTTAAGTCTGCTCCAGACTTATTTAGTGTATTACTGGAAAGTTCTTTGTTTCTTTTCTTACAGACCATGGAATCCCTAAATGGTGGCAAGCCGTTCCTGCAAGCTTTTTACGTGGATTTGCAGGGGGTCATCAAAACCCTTCGGTATTATGCAGGCTGGGCTGATAAAATTCACGGGATGACCATTCCTGTAGGTATGTGGAATTTTAGTGCATCGAAAGGGAAACATGAGACTCCACCAGAAACACAGTTACACCACCAATCACAAATAGCAGTCACATAGAATACAGATATGAGCACACTTAACAGCAGCTTGAACTGAACATATTACATCATTCTGACATCCCTATTTCTGTATGTAGACAGTCCATACCTAAGTACAGGGACAGGCTGCTTACATCAATGCATTAATCAATCAGCCAAGGAACAGGTATGTGTTTGTCAGCTGCTATATGCTTAGCACTGTGCCAGGATGAGTTCTGGGGGTATGAAGAGGCATTGGGCATGGAGAAGTCAGAGAAAATTCCGAGAAGATTACAACTTGGTTCTTACCCTTCTGAAATGTAACATCTACTTGTTTGGAAGGAAATACTCTAATAGTTAATAGTTGTTTTCTCTTAGTGGTGAGATTATGGACGATATATTTCTTTTTAAAAAATATTTTTCTGTATTTTCTATAATGACCATGAATAACTTGTACAATCTATAAAAACAACAATCATCCTGATACCTTTTTTTTTTTTTTAAGTCATATGACTTGGTCCTTTAAAAGGGGAAGGAAACTAAACTAAGTTAGTTGGTGGGAAGATCTCTATCTGAGTGGAACTACTGGTGATAGCTAATATCACACTGAATGCTTTCACATCATTGACAGAGGAGGAAACTGGGGCCTAGACAAGTTAAGTAGTTTTCCTAATTCGCCCAGCAGTAAGTTGTAGAGCTGAAATTTTGACATTAGAGCCTGCTGACTCACTTCATTTTAGATACTGGGAGGAAGAGATATCCTGACAGAAAAAGGACTGACTGAGGGAGCCATGTGGATATTGGGAGTGGTGAATAGGTATAAGGAAAGAAAATATATGGTCATTGAGTGGCTCCTGGATGCTTCTAAGTACAGTGCCAGGTACTATACCTGTGTTCTCCAGAAAACAGCCTGATTTCCATGTGCACACTAGGAAGAGTAGAAAGTAAAGCTAGGAACTTTGGAATGCTCTTTCAGGGCCTTCCTAGGCTGAGGAGTGTTGATTTAATAGAAGAGAGGATGGTTGTCTGACAGTGAGGATGACTTAAAGCAGCGCTTCTCAAACTTTACTGTGCAAAATTTACTGTGTGTATTTATCACCTGGGATCTTCTTCAAATGCACATTTTCATTGAATTGGTCTGGGATGGGCCCTGAGATTCTGCATTCCTAACCAGCTGCCTGATGCCTAGGCTGCTGGCCCTCTGCCCTAAGTAACAAGGAGAGGATGCAGAGACCAGCACTAACCAAGTGACTCTTGTGATGCCTCATTCAGGCATGGGGCAAGAAGAGAAGAAGTCACAGTAAGAGTGGAGAAGGGACAGAGATGAGACTTCAGAAGACTATTTTTAAATTACCTCTATGAATGATGGGGACACGTGGAATGTTAGTCTTTAGAAAATGGGCTTCCAATTATAGGCACTCTTCCCTGCCATCCAGAGGTTTCCCTTGTTCAGCAGACTCAGAAGGATGGGGAAGATTGCTTTTAGGGAATGTCAGAATCTTAGTTCAGTCCCAGCTCTAAGGATATCACAGAACCACTGTTCTCCAGCATCACTTGCAGGATTCAAAAATGGCCTAAGTGAGGCAGAGCCATTATTTGGTATGAGCAAACCTGTTAGAGGATCTAGGAATTAAACCTTTGTCAAAGACAAGACACGTGTCGACCTTTCTAGATTGGTCTCCTCTACTTCAATGCAGGAAGATAAATTAACAAGATCAAAGGCCCTAGCTTTTTTTTTTGGAGCCCCTCTCCACTGGCCATTTCACTATTAAAACAACAAATATGTTTCAGGTATTTAAATATCTATTCAAATGATTTACAGATATCTTAGGAATAAGGTGAAATGGAAGGCATCAAAATAGAAATTTATTTGTTAGGCCAAATAAGGATCTTAAGAGGTATTGTACCCATTTTACAGGTAAGAAAATGAGACAGCAAGGGTTTACTGTCTTGAACAAGGTCACATGGCTAGTAAGTAGCAGACATGAGATTCAAACCCAGGTCTCTTTCTGCCATTGTAGGCCCTCTTCTTATGGAGGCCAGTTTAACAGGGCACTAAGAGGAAGAGATCAATCGCCCTCTGTAGATTTTTAGATTAATATACAATTGATTCTCATTACTCATGGTAGTTATGTTCTATAATGTTGGTGTGGACACTGAATTAGCCAGCACTGAACCATTGCTCCTAGAGGAAATAAAAAGATGAAGAGTATAGTTCTGTCAGGTCATCCATAAAGAATAAAGCTGAAAGTCTTTTATTTTTTAACTTAAAATATAAGACTTAAAATATAAGACTGCTTTGTTACACCAAATCATAATCCATGGTTCATCCAGCTTAGCCTCTATGACATTAAATAATAAGCACCAAAAAGAGTGGGAACAATTATACTATTATCTCTTTCACTCCTCCCCATTTAGGAAGGCCAGGCAATCTACCATATAATGTAAAGGGCTCTTCCTTCACCTCCTGTACCAGACATCAACTTCAACTTCTCATTCACTCATTTCTTTCATTCTACAAGTTTTTTGGTTTGTTTTTGAGCACCTGTTATGTTTTAGGTTCTGTGTTAAGCATAGGGGCTACACAGTAAGTAAATACTGTAAAGAAAACAAACAAGTAGACAAGCAATTGCAATATAGTGTGGCTTATTCAGATATGGAAGCATAAAGTTCAATGGGACTTCATAGGAGAGGCAATCTCACCCAGTATTAAGGCTTCCTGGAGAAGGATGTGAGGTGAAGGGTAGGTAAGTGATGATGGAGATAGGGCCATCACAGGTGGTGGTCGTAACCGCTACAAAGCATGGAAGGAGGAGAGTACAGTGTGGCAGTGGATCTGAAAGTATAGCCAGATATAGAAGACCATGGGGCTCTTGGTCTGGGTAAACCATACTATGAGTTTTATTCCTTAGCAATGGTGAGTCACTGAATTATTTTAAATAGATAAATGTCATGATCAAAATTGCAATTTAGAAAGAACATTTCGACTACGTAATGAGAAATCAGTTGGAGAGAGCAAGTACCTGCTTTTTTCCCCTCCCCCTATAGTGTAGCCTCCCTCTAGAAAACTTAGGAAGAGAGGGGGAAAGTTATGGCATGACCATTGTTGAGTTATCTGCTGGACAGCTTTTCTCCTTCTGACTTGAGAGTGTCTCCCATTCCTTTCCGTTATGTCCCACTCAAGGTCCACACAGAATCATGTAGTTTCTGTTTCATTCACAAGGGTCTTAATGTTCGTTATTTCCTGCCATGGTACTCAATGGAGCCATTGTTTCTGACCATAAATTTTATGCTTTGACCCTTCTATTATGGCAACTCTTAATTATGATGATAAATAATAACCATTACTATGATTTATTGAACACTTTCTTTGTGCTCATTATATTATCTCTAATCTTATAGCAGGCCTGCATGGAAAGTATTATTATCCCCATTTTGATTATTTTAAAACTGTATCATAATCCTCTGTTCCTCTCATGTTCACAAACTTTTTAGAGTATCAAAGCTTGTTTTCAGTTAACTGAGAGAGAAATGGAGGTTAACTGATTTGCATATAGTTTTTCTCTGTAACAAGTGTTGATTTTATTGATTTTGTGGTATGTAAGCAGAGAAATATAGCCCATGCTTTAAGCTGAATTCTGACATAAAATAGCTTTATGATACATTAGCATGTAGAAAAGTTTAGAAAATTACCTATGTCATATGTAATTATTTTTCCACTTCGATCCCCTTTTAGTTTTACTTGTTAAACAAAGAATAAGCTAAAAACGCTCAGACATTGACTCAGATCCTGAGGTTTTACCTTCAACAGTGAGGTCTAGATTAGTGCTGTCAACAGAGAATGCATACGGTGAGATCTCATCGTTCACTCATATTGTTCACTGAGACTGAGGAGCTATTTGCTTTGCCCACCTGAGAATGTAGGGCAGTTAGTGGGACCTGAATTGGTGGTGGCAGGAGGTCATGAAGTCAGCTTCGCATGTAACCTCTTTGAGAGGTTAAGATTGAAAAAGACCCCAGGGATCCCTAAGACCAATCTCCTTGTTTTTCTGACAAAGAAACTGAGGTCTAGAGAAAAATAAAGTAACTTTTTTTAAAGACCACAGTATGGAGTAGTGATAGAGCTAAAACAACTTCCTGACAGATTCAGGAACGTGTAATCTAAAATCAGAGAAGCTACCGGCAGACTCCTGGAAAGAATAGTGTTAGCACCACTGTATACTAATGTCATCTCAATGTTTGTATAGGCATTTACGGTTTATCATCTAGCTGTAAAATGTTCAGTGAGATCTGTTCATTGTCAAAACACGTACTAATCTTCCGAGGGACATAATGGAATAGTTCAGTGTAGCTGGTCTAAGTGTTTAATACTGGGGCCATCAAAAAGGTTCTCAGCTCCTCACAAGATAATTCTGTACACAGATTAGATTGGAAGATGGCCTTCCATTCACTGAATTGTGTTACAGATTTTTATCTATTAAAAAATCTCATTTTTTTTTGTGCAAACAGGTATATCAAATAAGCTGCAGTTCTTAAAATACTCAGTATTGTAATTGAGAGCTAGTTCTTGAGGGCCATTTTTGATAAACTTCTCCTCAATTTCCAACACATTTCAAGTTTTTTTTTATTTTCCTGACTATATCTATCGCCCATTTGTACTGTCTAGTTTATTATAGACTGTGCCAATGTCAGACATTCTTATGAGAACAAAAATTATGTCAAATTTTTTTCAAGCAACTATAAAATCTGCTTTAAGAAGTGATGTTTACCCTGAAAGAATAATCCAAATAATTAAATTGTTCTAATTAACTAAGTACTTGCTATCTCTCCTGTGTAATACAACGAGCCCCCATCAAAGAACCTATGACAGTAATTCAGCTGTGTTTCACAAATACAGCAGAGGCTTACTTCATTACTCATTTCCAGGGATGAAGACTTTTCTTAATATAATTCTAGAAATGGCTCAATCTACATATATTCAGTAAAGTTTGGTCTATAGTTCAGCCAAATTTATAGTATAGTAAAGTCTCTAATTCTAAGATTTTTTTATTCCTCATGAGGTGTGAACATTCAGGTGAGATCTTGTAGTATTTGGAGAGCATGGTCAAGCATAAAAGATAGGAATATGGGTTATTATTTTTTGGAGGGCAGAGAAGAGTTAATCATTATATATCAATTTGGGTAGAGAAGGGAGAAGGAGAAGTTAATACTGTCGTCCTATGAGTCTGCTCTTCTAGGCGAAGAGGAGAGAGGCAACAGCTCAAGGGAAGAGGTTGTTGCTCTGCAGAGTTCCCTTTATACTTAAAATGCTGTAGTTTATGTGAGTTCTCTTTGTCCACATATTTAATCCTCAAAGAATCATTTTTACTTTTCACAAAAAGGTTATCATTTTTCTCCATTTGCATTCCTTCTCAATATAACACTGATTCTATGGTTTGTGATATCCACCTAAATTCAACACCTTATTCACAAAAGAGTCTTTAACATGTTTCTAAGGATAATGACCTTGAAGTCCAATGACCCAGCTCCTAGTCCAGGAGCCACAACTTAACTAGTTATATCACTCTGGACTTAACTTCTCTGCCATATTTTCTTTATTTATAAAATTCTGAAAATAACATTTGCCCTATATTTTTAATGTTTTGAGTGTGAAATGAGATATGAATGTGGAAATGTTTTGTAAGATTCTATAGAATTATATACATTTTGTTCTTATTTTGCTATTTTAAAAGTATTAAAAACATCGATCAGATTCTTCTACACTTCAGACTCCTTTCAGGCAAATTAGTAGAGTTATCAGAGAGGCAAAAAGTAAATAGCAATGAAGTCAGCAACTGTAAAGCAACTGTGGACTCCCCTTCACCCACTTGGTTCCTTTGAACTACTCAGATTGTGGTCTGTGGATCAGAAGGTGTAACATGGAAACTTACAGAAATGTAGATTCTCAGGTCCTGCCCCCAGACTCACTGATTCAGAATCTGCATTTTAACAAGATCTCCAGATACTTTGTGTGCACATTTAAATTTGAGAAGTACAGTATTATATACCACATGGCAAGATGATTCTATATAATAAAGTAGTGAACATTTTTTATTTTAATTATTAGATTTGAAAAACATTAGAAGAAAGTATTGCTAGCTCATACAACCAGTTGTTTCATAGATTTTCATTAAGGTGAGGCTGACAAGTAGCTATTTACATATTTTTAAAAGATGAGTTGATTTAACAGAATTATTAAGTAATAGAGTAAGTGATACTTGGATACAGCAAAAATTATGAAGATGGCTCTTGAGCAATTGGCCTTTGGGTAACTTTAGTCTAGAAACTTGGTGAGATTGGAGACAAGATTATAATAGCTGTGAAGGACCTCTGAGGTACCTTTTGCCCTAGACAAGGGTACACATGGAAAGCACAGTTCTTTGTTTGCCAAGCACCCCAGGTCAGAGTAGGGGTGACCAGATGAGAATGCAGACTGAGCTCAAGGTCTAAGGCCCTTTCCTTATGTCTTTCACTTAGATCTCTGTTGGGAAGAGTTTAAGCACCAAAACCACCCTTTATCTCTTAGTTAACTACTTAGAGGAACCGTAGGGATGGAAGATTCTTCATTCCCTTTCTTTGTGTCAGCTTTTAGCTAATCGTACAGTCTATAAACAGTTTATCCAAAGAAGTTTTCATTCTCCACGACTCAGTGTCTCTTGGGACACAATTATGGAATTGAGTTCAGTTTCTTATGAGGTCAGCTTTTTAAGATTTTGCCTACATTTTCTTCTTCTCTCTTTTATTTCTTCAGTACCTTGCAAAATTATGTAAGTAATATAACTAAATTCTTAAGGACTTAGAATGTGTGTGGAAATGCTTACTGAATCACCATGCTATGCTTGTGCAAGTGCCTTGTGGACTTTCTCTGAACCATTCCAGTTTCCTACACTTGCTGCTAAACAAACACCTGTGTTGTTCTTCAGTTTTTCAGTCTCATTTTTTTTCCTCAGTTCATTTGCCTTCCATCTTTATCTTACACTCTGATTTTAAGGTCTGTGATTATCTACCTGAATCCATCACCTTAGCCAAATTGTAGAGTTTAGTTAGGAGGGATTTCCCTGAAGATGAAACTCTAGCCTATTGATGGGTGTCATTGCTCCTCATAGAAGACCTTCCTTGGAAGAAGAGCCTGACATCACATTTCTATCTTCTGGGAAAAAACAAAAACAAACAAACAAAAAAACAACCCACAATGTGAAACATTAAAAGTATTAATATTAAAAAAAAAAAAAAGAAACACCTTTCTGGAGGTTTATAAATTGAATAATGCTAGTAATTTGGACTATTGTAAAGAATGATTTCTATGAAAATCTTAAGTTGTCTGCATACAAAACTAAAATACTTAATTTGATTTTTAAAACATTATTCAGACTTCTTACAGCCATCCTGTGGACAGTTTCCACATATTGTCTGTTTTTTGTTGTTGTTGTTGTAATAGAGATATAGTCTACAATCATTTCCTTCCTACATTTGCTGAATGCTGCCTACTTCCCAATTTCTTCCATTTAAAGAAATACACATAAAACAAAATTAGGAGACAAGCAGCAGATTAGGGAAAAACTTTGTTTATACTCATAACAAAGGCCTAATTTCCTTAATATACATAGAGTTCTTTGAGTGACTAAAATGATGAATAACCCAATAGAAAAATGGCAAAGGATATAAACCTGAGGAAAAGGAAATTGGCCAGTAAACATAAAAAGATATTCAACCCATATATCATTAAACACAAATCAAAAAGAATTGCCATTTTCCACCTGTCAGGTTGACTGAAATTAAAATGTTTGAAAAATCCCAGTGTTTAAGGGTAGGAAAAAATACCATGTTGTTGGAATTATGAATTGTGTAACTTTTCTGAAGGGTGATTTGGCAAGATTTCTCAAAATGCGAAATGCACATATGCTTAGACCATGAAATTCCACAGATATGCCAAGATATATAAAATGATAACTGTTTACAGCATTATTTATAATAGCCTAAACTGAAAGCAATCTCTGTGTCCCTCAGGATAGTTTACAAGTAGTACCATTATTTATTGAGCCAGTGCAATAACATTCAGCAGCCAAATATGTTAGCTTTATATGAAAAAGAAAAATTGGAAAAATATTGAAGACTGTGAATAATGTGATGCCATTTGTATTTTAAAAAATGGTAGGGTGGGGAATAAAAGGATGCTACATATACTTGTATGAAAAAAAATTCTTTGAAAAGATACACCAGCAACAGATAGCTGTTAATTCTGGGAAGAAGTCCAGTAGAGACAGTGAGGGAGGGAGGGAGGGCGAAAAGGAAGGAGGGAGGAAGACCTTTAATTATTTTAAAATGTATAATTTTGAATTTAATTCAAATGATTCTGTGCAATGAATATTAGTGATTCAGATGTGTTGAGAGACAATGATAAACAATCACATCATTTCTCTTCCCCAGCCCACACACTCCTCTTGTCCCCACCTTCATCCCTATCTGTAATAGTAACACTTTTCATCAGTATTAACTGAGGGCCTTCACTTTCCCAGGGGGATAGCTTTTGAGAGAGAAAACAAACATCAGGGCTGGCAACTGAGGGAAAAACAAAGACTTTGCCCAGTACCAGAAATGAAAAGACATATGCTAAAAACCAGTCATTCTTTGGTTATTTCACTTAGCCATTTAAAAGAATTCTGATAAACGTAATGGCATTTTCCTGAAGAAGAATTGGTTTGGATTTCTGGGGTGCTTATTTCAATTTCCTTTTGCTCTTATAAGGAAAACAAAGTTCTTAAATCATCCCTATTTCCATGGCTAGTTTGAGGGCAGAGGCTTTGGTTTATTGATGGAACATTCTTTAAGTGGACTTTTTTTTTGCCTTCTTGAAATAGACCTACATATTCCTGCATTCACCCAGTGCCCAGGAAGTGCATTTTGATGCCTGGATTGAATAATGAATAGATTTTACTTTTACTCCTCACTTTTTCCAGTAGCCTAGCATTTCAAATTTACCTAATAGCATTATACTTCGTTTTTAAGAAATACTTTATAAAGTTATTTAAAATTTGAGGTACCTCAGTTTTTAAATCGAATAACTGTTCTACATATAAGTATCATTTTAGTATTTAATATAAAATTTCATATTCGATATTTTCCAGTTTCCAGCTCTCCCAGCCCCCTCCCTGCCCTTCCCCAGGACTGCTTCTAGTGCCATCAGCTTGTCCTGCATTTTGCCTTCGAGGTCAGCACTCTGCTTGGGTGTCTGAGAGCCATATCTGGAGATACCTTATGTCAAGTGCTAGGTCTACCAGCTTCCATACATGGTTGAGGAGGATATTTTCTCAACTTTATTTATAGTTTTTTTTTTCCTTCACCCAAATTCTCCCTCTGCATTTTTTTTCTTGTAATCTGAATTCTGTGGTAGTGACCATGCTCATTTCCTTCAGATGGAGACTATTTTACCTTTACAAGACACGAACCCATCGGAGTGTGTGGACAGATCATCCCAGTGAGTATATCTCCTTGCGCCTCGTAATTTATTTTCACTTGAACCAGTTCTCTTAAAGATACATAAAACATGGACCTCAGCGATGTGTGTTTTCCATTACTGGGGGAAAAAAACTGAGCTCATGTTGTTGACATATCTTTAACAGCCTCCCTGCAAATGCTTATTTGAACAGGTTAATAGGGTTTCAGCTCCGTTACCAGGAGTTGAGTTCTCAAGTCATGGAATTCTCATGATTAAAATAAGCAAAGCCAACCCCAGTGTATTAATAACCTGCCCCTTGGTTATGGATGTCCATTTGGCTTATGGAAAATTAATGCTTTGTTATATTTGCTTGTTTATTTTTTAAAACTGTGACTCACCATCTTTCCAGGCATATTGTTTTATATGGTCTTTTAATCCCCATTCTTTCCCACTGTTTCTTTTCATAAGAATCGAAGATAGAAGACTCTACAGAAGACACAGCAGTACAATTAACGTCACGGTCATAATTGAAACCATGCTAGGCTGTTGTGTGTCTTGTAAAGGGAAATAGATGCAGTGCTTTGTGTTTGGATTGAAACATTAAACATTGTCTTTTTTCTCTCTCTCTCCCATACACAGCCTTGGCACCATACATCGAAACTTGCAACAATACTAGCTAATAGTTCTGGCAAGGATTTCAGGGGAGGTTCAAACTAAACTCTTACACTATAGTCAAGAAGTTTCTCTTCTCAAAACACAAGAGACTAAGTCAAGATAATCTTTGGCTTTGGGGGCAAAGCTTTTTGAGCGGTATTAATGTTTTGTTTTGTTTTGTTTTTTTAATGACTTACAAACTCCTGGTTACTGTGAAATTTATTAGAGAATGAAAACGAAAAATGAGAGTTTTGGTTTAAGTTCTGTTCCTAAACTACCCAGGGAAAGAAATCCCACTTGGATCAGAGCAAGGTGAGGTCTGTCACCTTAACTGCAGGAACTCAAACCTGCTCTTCTTGCCCTTCCCAGACTTTCAGAGCTGCAGCTTTCACTGACAGGACAAGAGCTGCTTGTCAGCCAGCTCCAGCTCAATTACAGCAACCAAGATTTATATACTGTAGATGGAATTAAAACATCACTGTGGACTCCCAAGTTTATAAACAACTAAGGGGAAAAGAAATTGGGTGTTTGGTGAAGGCAAGACACTTGTATATTTTTGCAAGCTTGCCAGGGCCAGTGAGAATCTTTCAAGGATGGCAGCTGAGATGCTTCAGGCAGAAACACATTGTGGTCAGGGGCTGAAGCCAGGGGACCAGGATTTCTGTTTTCTTTCTTAATGAAATTATCAACAACACCTGATAGTGCTGAGCCTCATGCCTGAGCATATGACAATACAAGACAAACTAAAATTATTGCATACTAATAATTTATTAATTCATAATAAATAAAGATATACTTTACAATAATAAATAAAAGCATATCTTAATTTTTTTGCAATCATGTGTTTTGCGACAATACGCATATGTAAAGAAGAGGTGCTACCTTGAAATGTGCATTGACTTAAATGTAATTCACAGCTGGGACTTTCTCTTCTCGTTCTTCCACACTGAAGAGTTTTCATACCAGTCTGACATTTCTGTGTAAAAATCACAAATGTAAGAAAAAGTTCTCATACACAAGAACTTACTGGAACCAAAGTTTAGTTTTAAAAACATGTAGAATAACAACAATGAAAAACCAAAACAAAACAAGGGAAAAAACAAAGATTCTCTTTACACCATGAGATTTCTTTTGGTGGGTACTTGGAATACAGTAATTTGGATTGTCAAGGTCAGTCCTATTGTATTCGTAATGAAGTAATTAAAAAAAATCCAAACATCTACACTTTGTGGTGAGACAAGATTTATGTTGAGGACTAGTCTGAGAAATCTGAGAAGTCACAGCTTGAAAACAAAGTTGTGGAGGAATATTTTTCATCTATCAACCTTGAGTTTTTTCCTTTCAGTGGAACTTCCCCCTGCTGATGTTTGCCTGGAAAATTGCTCCAGCTCTGTGCTGTGGTAATACAGTAGTTATTAAACCAGCAGAGCAGACACCGCTCAGCGCGCTCTACATGGGAGCCCTCATCAAGGAGGTAAGAGAAACCGCCTTTAGGAGTGTCTCCCACTTCCCATACAGTTGGTGCCTACTGGAGCATATCTGATTTAATGTACTTCATCACAACCCACGTTTCCTTCAATTTTGTTTTGTTAGGCTGGCTTTCCACCAGGAGTCATCAATATTTTGCCAGGATTTGGGCCGACAGCTGGGGCAGCAATAGCTTCTCATATTGGCATAGACAAGATTGCATTCACAGGGTCTACTGAGGTAGGTATCTGGGAAACCATGGGTTGAGGATCAGTCCTGCAAATGAGTAGAAGGTTTAAAAGAAAACTGAAAATGTTACACAGAGAGGCTGGACGCCAAAGGGCGGTGAGCACCGAAACCCTCAAAGGGCAGCGTCGGTCGTGTAGCTGGAAGACGGACGAATGTCAAAGTACAGGCGCACATTTGATGCCACAGATCTCTGAGCACTTTTGTGATTGCCATCTGTGTAAAACCTGACCCAGACAAACAAACAAAACCCTATTACCTTTTGAAATAAAAAGAACACATATCAGAAGCAAACACAAACAAAAACCATTCCAGAAGAGATTGCCCCAATGGATGGGGTTCTGATGACTTTCTTGAGTCAAGAACAATAATAGCGGAAGCATTATTGTTTATAAATTAATCTCTGGTAGAGATTAAAATAGAAACACAACTCTCTCCTCTCATTATTTCACCAGATCCTGTTGGTGCAGTTGGCAATTAACAGGTCCATGAGTTATAAGGGATGATATAGAGCAGAGGTCAGCAGACTTTTCCTGTAAAAGGCCAGATAGTAAATGACATAGACTTTGTAGGCAATACAGTCTCTGCTGCAGCTGCTTGTCTATGCCCTTGTAGTGTGAAGTAGCCATAGGTAATGTATAAGTTTATGGCTGCAGGCCCATAAACTTTATTTACAGATATTAAAATTTGAATTTCATATAATTTTTACACATCACAAAATATTAATCTTCTTTTGATTTTTTTCCCCTCAACCATTTAAAAACACAAAAACTGTTCTTAGCTCTTCAGCCATACTAAATAAAATAGGCAGCAGGCCACATTTGGCCCATAGGCCATAGTTTATTGATTCCTGATAAAGAGTCAAAAGTCTGCTTAGAGAGGTTTTTAACGAATGCTACTCCAAAATGTCTTGGATTCAGGTAACAGAGATGATAAAAAAGAGAATCTCATTTACTTTATCAAGTAGAACTTCACAGATGACATCGCCATTAAACAAAAGATGTTTGCAGATCTAGGACAGTGCTACCTAATAGAAATAGAATGAGAGCGACCTTCGACATTTAAAATTTGCTATTAGCCACATTAAATTTTTTAAAAGTTAATTAATTTCATAATTTTATTTAATCTGACATTTCCAAAATATTTCAACTTATGACCAATATAAAAATATTACCACAGTATTTTGCATTCTTTTCTCCAAAATGAAGTCTTTGAAATTAGGTATGTATTTTACATTTACAGCACATCTCAGTTCAGACTAGCACCTGGTCAAGTGCTCTGTAGCCACGTGTGGCTAATAACTACCATGTTGAACAGCACGGGTCTAAGGACTTGATTACATCACCTGATACCGTTAATGATACTTGGTTAAACTGACTCATCTTTAAAAATTTCGTTAGAGATTAATATACCTGAGTGTTAATTTATAGTTACAGATTACAGTTTTATGTTTGTCAAGAGTTAATCTTGTTTGTTTCCAAACCTTTTATTCTAGTTGTACTTGTTACAGTAATTTTGAAATTTTAATGATATCTGTAAACCAAAATGTAAGTGTAAAATAATTTATTGTTCTTACTTAAACTAAGTCTAATTCTTTGAAAGGATTTGCTAAGGACTAGATGCTAAGGGAAACTGGAATCATCTAGGAGTGGGCAAGACAATTGTAAACAATTGGAGGGAAAATATAAATCTAGCTAGAGTGTGCGCTTGGATTGTTTTGCAAATGTTTTAAAGTCCTCACTCCACTTTAAAGAAACTGAAACCAGAAATCTTAAAAAATATTTTAAGGATATGTTTTAATCAGAAAGGATAGGTGGACCCATAATTAAAGAAAAGTCCTTGGTCCTATATCCAAAGACTGGAGCATGAATGTACATAATTTTTAAACTAAAATAAAGTACTTAAAGTATCTTTCCCTGCTTTAACCTTTTTATCGTTAATCAACCAGTGGTCCATTGGACTTTTAATTGGCGTTGTTACCTGTCAATATTAGATTGAGAGTAAGTGCTTTCTCTACATGATTGACTCTTCATCTAGGAACATGGTCTAAATCTCTCATTTGTCCTGTAATGTTCATCACTGATGTCATCATATAGCTATTAGGATTTCTAAGCATTTAACTTTTTCTTCCAAAGATATTTTGGTCTAAAAACTGAGCGCTCTTTTTAAAAATTCACAGTGTCACATATTGGAAACTTAATTCAATGGATGACCTAATCTTTCAGGCCAGACAAGAAGTGGCATAGTGAATCAGTAAGATGATTATGCTCATTTCCAGGCTGCTTGGGTTCAAATCTTTGTTTTGCCATTTAAGACTTTCTTTTTAACTTCTAAAAAGACTTCATCGAAGTATAATTTACATACAATAAAATGCACTTATTTAAGTATCAAATGTATACACTCATGTAACCATCATCGAAATCAGGATACAGAATTTTTCCGTACTTTAAAAAGGTTTCTCATGTCTCTTTGTGACTAAAGCCGCATTTCCAGACAAACATTGATACTTTTAATTAATTTTGCCGATTCTAGAATTCATATAAATGAAATAATGCCGTATGTACTCTTGTGTGTCCATTTTTTGGGTTGGTGTTCAATATTTAATTAATTATTGATATGGTTGCATTTAAACCACCCATCTTGATTTTTGTTTTCTACTTGTCCCATCTGGTGTTTTGTTCCTTTTCCCCTCTTTTTCTGCCTTCTTTTGGATGAATCAAGAACTCCATTTTATCTTTTATTTTGGATTATTAGCTGCACCTCTTTTTAAAATGGTTGCTTTAGTAATTATAACCCGCATCTTAATCACAGTTGACTATTACATATATTGTGTCCTTTATATATAATATAACAACAGAATTCTTCCATTTCTCATCTTATTCTTAATACTATTGTTTTCCTATGATATACTACTACATATGTTATGTACCCCACAGTACATTTCTACTCTTTTTGTTCAACTAGCTTTTTGAAAATTTTTAAAAATGAGAAAAAATTGTTTGACATTTACTCACATACTTGCCATCAATAACCCACAGTATATTTCTACTCTTTTTGTTCAACCAGCTTTTTGAAAATTTTTAAACATGAGAAAAAACTGTTTGACATTTACTCACATACTTGCCATCTCTGGCCTTCCTTTTTTTTTTTTTTCCCTTATATCATTTTCCTTCTGCGTAAAGATCTTTAGCATTTCTTATAGTGCAGGTCTGTTAGTGATGAATTCTCTCAGCTTTTGTTTCTCTGAAAATGTCTTTATCTAATTTTCATTTTTTATTACTGTTTTTTTTCCTGAATATAAAATTCTGATTAGACATTTTTAATTTTATTTTACTTTCAACATTAAATATGTTATTGGATTTTTATCTACTTGTGCTGTTTCTAATGAGAAGTTAGCAGTCATTCTTACTTTGTTTTACTATACATAATGTTTTTTCTCTGGTTGCTTTTAAGATACTCTTTTTACTGGTTTTCAACAATTTGATTATGATGTGTTTCTGTGGTTTTTTGTTTTTGCCCTGATCGAGGTTCATTGAAAATTCAAGGATCTATGAGTTTATAGCTTTCATCAGATTTGGAAAACTTTGACCATTATTTTCTTCAAATACATGCATGTGTGTGTATATGTATTGGCTTTTTTCATGTCTGTTACTTTTTGAAAGCATGCTGAACATTGTGACCATTACTGAACATTTGGATTTTGTTATTCTTTAAAGTAGTGTACTTTTTTTTTCTGACAGGTGGTTAAGTCACTTACAGTACATCTTGACCTTTTTGACATTTAATTTTAAGCTTTATTAGGACTAGTTTATCATTTACTGAGATACTAAAATTTACTCAGATTACTAAGTTGAGATCCTTCTGGAGTTTCTACTGAGGGCACCCAGTGTTCAACAAGGTCTTTTCCTCTCTGATTGGTCAGAACCCAAGTGTCTGTCTGCCAGCCTGTACAAGCTCTGGGAATTATTCAGCATACAGATTACCTGGTCTTTGTTCTTAATCTAGTCTCATAGAGCCTCACCCCATTTATTCCCAGCTTAGCAGTCAGCCAAAGACTCATGGGGGCTTCCTTGGAATTTTCTGGACCTCGTTCTCTTCCTTTGGTACTCAGCCCATCACATTTTAGCCCCCTCAGCCTCTGAAAACTCTGATCTGTTTCATCAATTCAGTAACACTGCCATGTTCTACTTTGGTCTCCCCATCCCATGCTGTAGTCTACAGTCTTTTGGCAGAAAGGTCTTCTCTTGTCTGTTTCTCTTATATCTAGAATCACAGTCCCATACTGTCTGATATACAGTTTGAAGAAAGAAATTTCATGTACTTGTCTAGTTGTTTACAGTGTCAGGGGAAGACCAATGCCAGTTACTCCATTATGACCAGAAGCAGAAACCCCTATTGTATCATTTTATTAATTTTGATATTTTTCTTTGATTTCTTTCTCTAGGTTTCAGGCAGATTACTTATCCTCATAGTGTATCATTGCCTCATACTCGATATATTATAGTCAATGAGGTTACAAGTTTACTTACTTCAGTAGATATAATTAAAGCCTTAATACAAATCTAAAGACATTTGGATTCAGAAAGAAAAGTCTCTGGTTTACTTAGTATAGAATATTTAAAAAGGACTTTAGAACAATAAATAACATTTTAAATCTCTTTGGGTGAGCTGATTTGCTTTTCAGTTTCAGTGTTGATTTTTTTAGCTTTAGTTTCAGAAGATGACAATTTCTGGTCATATATATAGATTTGGCAATGGGGAGGATAGCATTCTTTTTAAAGTCTATCTCATAGGCTTCTCTTTACTACCTCAAGTAGTATCTGATGTGTAGTCAACAAGCATTATAAATATTTGTTAGCAACACCAAGGAGGAAAGACTTTGAGAAATAAATGCTTAATCTCAGAGCTAGAAGGTGATATGTCAAATGGAGCACTTTTCTTCTTTAAAAAGCCACCAAAAGCTTAGAGTTTGATCTTTTTTACTATGTATTTAT